TGGTGACTGAAGTCTCAGGCCGCCTTGTCCCGCATGTTTCCCYATCCTTCCTAAGCATTTGCTGGGAACCCTTATCCTGTTCCTTCGTGCCAGGCCTCGGAGCCGGCTCCCGCAGCCCCTGCGTGGGCTAAAGGCAGTGTGTTGGCTCAGGCTGCAGCCCGGCAGCTTCCCCAGGAGCGAGGATCATCCTGCTGGCTTTGCGCAGCGCTCCCGGTGGATGCCATCCCGGGGAGCAGGGAGGAAAGAGCAGGCTTCTCCTTAAAACAAGCAGATGAGAAAGCAAGGACAGAACAGCACCGTGCACTCCTCGAGGCAACGCGCAGGTGCCGCCTCATCCAGCGGCAGCGCTCCGACCTGGGAATTCGCCATGGCTCTCAGTCATGCAGCCGCGCGGCRCGTTTCCAGTGGCGGGACTCGCCGGCTGAGGGGATCCTCCTGTGACGAGAAAGCAGAGGTACCTGGAACCAGCCATAAAAATGGCATAAAAGGTAGATCAGTAGTTGCTTGCTAGGTGATCGGGCCATTTGGGCCATTCTGTGTTGCTCCTGTTTTTCTCCTGTGCTTTTTTAATAGGATATATATATACACACACCCTATATATTGATTATGTATGTATTCTGTGCACTCTGATAGGCAAATACATCTAGTCGGTGCCTTCTGGGGTGCTCTTTGGCATGGTACTTTTTTTGCGTTTGGTCTCTCGATTTTATTTTCTTCCATACTTCGTGCTTCCCTGCCTTTGCTCTTGAGCTGTGTCTGGTTTGACATTGAGCACAGCGATGCTGGAAAAGCAGCCCAGAACTTTCCTTAGAATTTACCAAATGTCAGACGGGGAGCTCGAGACTTAATCTTGGAACAGCACATTTCAGGCTGCAAGTAATTTGAATTAATTAGAAGCTTTTGATAAATAAGACTTCTTTTTAAGTAGTGAGACATGCATGTTCTCTATAAAAAGACAAAGCCCTCAACTTTTTTAGCCTCACTGCAGATACAAAATACGACAGACTGTGGAGGCCAAACGGGTGCGTTGCAAGGGGGTCAGAGGAGGGAGGAAGGGGCCTGTTTCCTACTGCAGCTGGTACCAGCTCTGTTCCCTGGGCCTCAGGAGGGCATCAACGGAGGCCAAGGAAGCAGAGGGGGATTAGCCAGGAGCTCTGCAACCAGAGCTGGTTCCAGTGCGTATGGCTTTGGCCAAAATGTTGGCCTGTCTCGACTGATGAGGAGTGACGGATCTCACCAGGATAGGATGAGATCTTGGAGGTCTCCTGGCGAGGAGAGGATGGTGATGAACTTTTTTTGTGTATATTTATCCATTTTGACCAGTCTAGATTCGGTGTCCAGTTGTTAGGGACACATACAATCTCTTATTCCTTTTCTTCCTCCTGTGACAGTCTGTGTAAAGGACACGTGTCTCTGCTGTGGACACCTGGGCAGTGCCGCGTGCCTAAGGAACATTAACTAACCCACTCCGGAGGAAGGCAGCTCGCTTTCAGTAACCCTAGCCTCGCAGCAAAGGTGATTTGCCTCCAGGCAACTGAATTAAAAGGGGAAAAAGAAGAGAGAGAAAGAAAAAGTGAGAGGATGCTCCACTGTTAATCAAATAGATTCTGATCTGTGTTTTCTGCAAGTACCTTGATTCAGTGTCCTTACTCGTCATGTTCTCGAAAGGCACTGCAGATTTTCAGATCCCTAGAAGCTCGGCTTATTTTCTAACAAGTCTCTCTTTTTTTTTGTTCTTCTTTTTTTTTCTTAAAGCAGTGCAAGACCAAAATAATAAAAGAATRGCTGGATTTGTTTGAATATTTTCCAGCTCAGCGGTAGGGGGTTCACAAGAGTCAGTCTGGGTCCAACAGAGAGCATATTGAACTGGATCTAATAAGAACAACTGGACCCCAAACCCCTATTACCTTCTGTAACTGAGTTTTTCTGCAGGACAAGGACTTTAATGTAATCTTAATAGCTAGAGGTAACAAATTAGTCTGAAAGGAAGGAAAGAATAAAGCCCACAGCAATTAGAAACTATCTCCTGAAGATTTTTAAGTCTTGCCAACCACATATTTGTGTCTCTTTGCAGATGAATGGGCCTTTCTGTCACTGTATTGTGATGTATTGTAAAGTAGCAGACTTGAACTAATTATGTCCTCTGAACTTAAAAAAAAAAATGGTTTTTGAAGTCCAGACATGCATGTAGTTGGCCCAGCCAAACCAGCGTCACTCAGGGTCAAGGGGATTCAGGAGCATTTTGGAAAAACAACAGTTGGATGCTGTAACTCCTGGGAAGAAAAAGTAAGCAGGAAACAGGGTGCAGGCATTGCAATTCACTGCTGATTTGAAACGGGTCTTGCTGGCCACATTTATAGGGTRACTTCAGTTCTACCAGGTATTGTGGTGCTCACCCCGGTGGAGCAGTGTAGATGAAGCGGAGATGGTTGTCTCTGGCTGAGAGCTCTGATGTGAAGCTGCTCTCTCCTTGCGGCATTTAGACAGGGAGGCCTGTGTGTTCTGCTGCTCTTGCAGTGCTTTTTTTCCCGTTGTTTTCTTAAGCYCGCATTTACAGTCGGGAGCCATAATAAATGGCAATACTCATAATAAAATTGTCTCTTCTTATCTGAAYGCAGGGAAATGAAGCTGTGATCATATCTTTGAGGTGTCCCAAGTGGTCTGTCCTTCTGCTGTAAAAGACAAGCTGACCTTAGCTGTAAAAGACAATGGTTAATTCTTCAGCGGGTGCTTTTATACCTGCACTTCATATGCTGTCCTAAGCCGCAAGGTGAATGCGAAGGCCTTAGATCATTAGTCTGTAGGAAGGGAAGGTCCTACCTTGAAGTAATTCCTTGGCAGAATCGCCCCTTCCTGGAAGCCAGCCGGGTCCCCTTGCCTGCTTCCCAAGCCAGTCCTTCCCGGACCACTCCTGCTCGGGAGGCTTCCAGGGGAGCCATCAGCAAACGGCACATGAGCTCGGCCTGCRCCGGAGCAGCAAGGGCAAAACTGGCCGGTGTTTCCCACATCGTCCATAGCAAAGTCATCAGAGTTCATGGATCACACGTTGAGGATGTGGCTGCTGCATCGCAGAACGTGATCTGTTTCATCCAGCGTCCCAGATAAGCTGCAGGAAGATCTTTGAGTGGAATGAGATAACACTGCATACCAACATGAGCTCTCCCAAAGAAATGTAAAAAAAATGATACCATAAATTAGTAAAGGAAAAAAAAAACAATTACAACTTTTAGTGATTTTTTGGGGAAGAGTGTTAACTGTTTTTCATCTCAGCCCTAAATTTACTGATAGTCTCCAATGTGCAAGCGAGTCATGGAGGGGGTTTCTCAGGCCGCCTCTGCTCGCGCTGTCCCTGCCGTGGGTGGTGCCTCTGGCTTCTGGGGTTTATGCGGGGCAGCAGCGCTGCGGACACTCGCGGTGTCCACGCTCGCCGTGTCCCAGCCACGCCGTGCCCGGCGAGCCGAGCGCAGGGGCCGGCGGCAGAGGCGCGGGTGTCTCTGCACCGCCTGCATCAGCAGCAGCTCCCGCSCAGCATCGCGGAATCGCTGCGGTTGGAAAAGACCTTCAAGATTATCGAGCCCAACCGCAGGCCCTGCAGCACCCTGCTGCTAAACCCCGGCCCCAGGCGCCTCACGGACACGTCTCCTGAGCACTGCCGGGGACGGYGACTCCCCCAYGTCCCTGGGCAGCCGGTCCCAGTGCTTGGCCACTCTTTCCATGTAGAAATTCATCCTGCTGTCCGACCTGAACCTCCCCTGGCRCAACCTGAGGCCATTTTCTTGTCCCACCTGTGTGGCCCTGGCCGGGGCGAGGGGAGGGCGCCTAGAGCAGGGCACACGGTGACAAACCACGTTAGTGCTCCCTGCCAACCTGTGTGCCTTCATGCTCRGCTTCGCCTTTCTCCTCTGCAGATGTGAATTATTTACATACTGAATCCTGCTGCATGTAAATGCTTTCGTGTTAAATATAGTATTCTATATATATTTGCATAAATACACTAAATATATAGTTTTTTTTTTATAAATTAAAATATATATTTATAGCAGGCTGCCTTTTCCTACCAATCTTGTTTCTCTTGCTTGCGCAGAGAGGGGAAGCGTTTCCTCTGCAGCGCCGTGAAGAGCGGTGCTCTCGCATYTCTTGTTTCTGATCCTCTTTTTTTTTGTATGAAAATTCAGCGTCTGCTTTCCTGCTTTTGATCCAGCGCTTTGTGTATACAAATGCTGATCAGTTTTTAAAATGATGTTTTAAGTGTAGCTTTCTGCTGAAACATGACTTTTTTTCCCTTCCCCTAATGTGATTAAATGAGCTTCAGTGAGAATCTTTTTCCTGCCACTGAACACAAGAGAAGAAAAGCTAAAACTGATATTTTCAGGGAGTATGAAACTGCAGTCCTGGGCACTCGTATGACCTTCTCCACTAAGTCCTTAGCAATTTTTYGTAGCGTCTTCTCAAACCTGAAGCCTGGTGAGATCCAGGCGACCCAGAGCTTCATCCTCAAAGTCAAGTTATGAGATGGGTTAGAAGGGCTGCAGTTGGGAGTCTTAGTTCAAGTTGGGAGATGAATTCTGGGTGGATGTTAAAGAGAGGCCTCATCTTCTGAGGACAGTTGTTGAAGTAAAACATGGCATATAAAAAAGCCATGGGAGGCTTGAATGTAATGTGCAAAGTTTGCCATGGAGCTTCTTATGGGCACTTTGAATGTCACTTCTAAATTGTGTGCTGCTGTTTTCCTCATTGAACTTGGATAGATGGTTACAAAGAGTCAGGGAGACTTTTTACAAGGTTTAAAATTCAATAATAGGTTTTGAATACTTTTTTTAGATTTTTCTTGGGTTTTTTTTTTTTCCATTCTTGACAATTATTTGCCTGTTCTGCTTCATTATGGATATTCTGCAGAGTTGAGAAGAACATTGCCTCAACAAGCCAGTGTCCAGACCTGGAAGTTATCCTCAGTGTTGTGTTTCTAATCGCTCTTCCCTCTTTCCCCCTGGATGCTCCAGGTGAGGAAGAGCCCCTCAGCGCTGAAGCATGAGCACGGATGCCAGCCAGGTGGTGATCACTACTCCCCCCGCTGCCACCATGCCCCATAAAGAGAGGTACTTCGATCGCATCAATGAGAACGACCCGGAGTACATCCGTGAGAGGAACATGTCCCCTGACCTGCGGCAGGACTTCAACATGATGGAGCAAAGGAAGAGGGTCACGCAGATCCTCCAAAGCCCGGTGAGCAGGGCTGAGGCGGGGTGCTGGTTTTGGGGGTTCCTGGATGACCTTTTAGGATTTTATTGTTTTTAAAGCTGCGTCACAGCTGGCTGGAATAACTCTGGGCGGTGGAACATCTTACAGGGACAGCCATTAAACAGCTTATCCAACATTTGTTTGCATAGTTTTTGTCTGTGAACAAACAGCCTGGATGTTTTTATGGTTTTATGCTTCATTGCAGTACTACAAAAAGAACTGGCTACTGCAGGGTGCCTAATTAAAACTTAGGAGCAGAGAAGGGAGCAGCAAAGTCACTGCTCAAATATGAAGAAATTAGGACAYGTTACATGGCGTTCTGCGTTCTGATTTCAAATATTAACTTTTCATTTGCATCCAGGAATGCATTGATTACTGTTTTTAATCAGTCTGTTGGCTTAAAAGTTAAGCTACACATTCTTAACATGTACTTGGGGGCGATYGCACCCCGTGTTTGCCACGTTAGCCCTCATCTCTGGGTCAGTTCAGTGCTGGTGTAGCATAGGTATAAGACTATTAAATCTATTGGAAGACTTCARAATAGTTTTATTTTATGTGTTCTTTGTGGTTAACCTGATGAACACATTGAAAAAACACTCTTGTCCGAGACTTTTGAAGCCATCAGGAGTAAGTGAGGACTGGGTGGGAGTGAATCATTGCAGGTGGCAGTATGAGTGTATATGTATGTGTGTGTGTAAATATATATGTGTGTGTGTAAATATATATATATATTTAAAATGGGGATAATGCAGCTTGCAAGGGGTTAAGCAGCTTTGCTTAGGACCCATCTCTGTTCATTTTTTCTAAAAGTTAGGGTGCTTCTAGAGTCGTTTTTTGAAGCTTTCCGGTATGTAATGAGACTGCAACCAGCTGTTAGTGATCATTCTATTATGAAGCCATGAATAATCCATGAATAACAGGATTATTTGCTAACGTGCTGTCGTGGAGCGCCCCTCGGGCCCGCGCGCTGCTCTGCGGATAATATGAACCTGTTGCCTAAGGAATTTATTACATGCACGTCACTTTGTGCAAGTTTAATTTTGCAGCCCACCTCTTTATTATAAAGAAAATATGGAGATATTGTGTAATGCATTTATCATGATAAATTTATGTTAAATAACTCCAGTCATATTTTAGAACAGTGTCTGCTCCTTCCTGTTAAAATACTTAGGCTCCGAGTGGTTAGAACAGCCAAGACTCCAGCCTTTAGCCAGTTTAAGCACAAAGTGAAAATAAATTACATAGACCTTGCTTGTGTACATAGCATTCTCGGGTCCTTTTGATGGAAGCACTAAATCTGAGAGGCTTAATTGTCTCCGTAGTGTTTGGGGGGAAAAGCWGGTTTGCCAAGTCTGCCAGCTGTGATAAATGTGTCTTTGCAAGTCCCTTTCTTTAAAGCTGCAGTGTCAGCATGAGGCTTGCAGGAGCAGTGGGCAGGTACTGCTTTGGAGCTGAATAACCATTTTAACAGAAAACAGGACAAAGAGTTGTTGGGCTCTTGGTAGTATCCTGCCACAAAGGCGTCCAAGCCCAGAATTTTTTAGAAAGTRGCTATTTGGAGCTGCCAATATGCTGCAAGTTTTTCATTTTTTTAAGAGGAGAGTTGTCCAAATAAACTTGCAGCAAAGAGCAAGAAGAGAACAGGAGTCCTGGGACCTGAAGTGGCCCATAATCAGGCCCAGAGAGGTGTTTCACCTGCAGGTTTCTGTCATACAGTATTTCTTTCTATTGATCGCATCTTCTGTTAAAGTAGAAAGTGTAGAGGAATCTTGCTAGGCTTTTTTATCTGAGAGAACAAAGCATTTTTAATGTTATTTCTCTCTATGTTTATGACAGAATGTCCCTCAGACAGTTTGGGGGTTGTTGGTTTGGAGATTTGGGGATAGAGGCTACGTTATTTCGTGCAGGTCCAGCTGCTGCAGTGTGACATGGTGTCCTTGAGGCAGGACTGAGAATGATTTACCTGCTCTCCTCCAGAATATAAATCTTGTCACAATAGTACCAGAAAACTTTTGTCTTCTTACCAGGCTGCCTAACACAAGTTCAAGGTTGAATCACATTATGTTGTGGGTAATGCTTTGTGCTGTAGCTGTAGAATTACATTAAATTAGAATTTCCATAGAGCCTTGCTGCTTTTCTGGTTTATTTCACTCTACAAGTAGTAGATAATTGGAAGGTGTCCTGGAAGAGAAGGAGGGATTATCAGATATTCATTTAAGAAAATCTTATTATTTACTGATAAATCTGCACCTGATCTTGCATTTTAATGTATGCATAGAGGTGGCAGAAACAGTTGGTTAGTCATCTTCTGGCAAGTGTTGGCCAATAAGAAGTGTATATAGCAAGGATGATAATCTTCCTTTCCTAAAATATACAAGCATGTGTGAACTCAAGATGAGATTGTTTGAGCATGCATTTTCTCTAAGCACAGGATTACAGTATAAAATTGAAGGGTAAATCACTGCAAGATACTAGGAAATTTGGTTACCTCATCTTTCATCTGTGATAATAAAATTTGGCTTCCTTCAGGTAGAAAAATTTAAATCCTTTAGCAAGAAAAATAATTAGTGAATTTATTTCAGAAACCACTGAGTATTTGGTGCTGCAGTACGTGTTGTCTAAGGGCTGCAGCCCTCATCAGAAGTCCACAGACGTCAAACTACTCTCTCCAATGTGTGCCCTGAGGTGCATTTTGATGTGCCATCTGACTACGCTTCTCTAATACACAATTTTCGTTTCTTAAATTGAGTAATTTCAAAGCTGCTGAAAAGCCACTCTCATTGCCTCTAATGTTTGCTAGTGTCTTAGAGCCTGTTCATAATAAGTATTATATGAAATGTAGGAGTCGTGTAATCACTGCCCACAAAATGCCCTGACGTTACCAGGGAAAGCTCAAATGTTTTGACTTAGTATTGCACTGGGTGATAACTCCTGGATACCTGAAGGCCTCGAGGATCTTTGAGGGCCCAAGCTCTGCTGGTTTGGCTATTGAAAGGTGAAAAGAAATTAAGTTCAGGTAAGTCAGAGTAGCCCAGCAGCATCCAGTACTGCTGACCAGTCTTTAAAGTAAAACCCTCTAAGTTTTTGTCTGTAGGATATGCAAAATGTGAATAGATTTTTTTTAGCTTTTTTTCCAACTGAACTCTGAAATTAAAAACACTTTTGTGTCTTTTTTATGTTAAACAATACTATACTGTTTGTTATAGAGAGTAACTCCATCTTTCAGTGTGTTTATTTGCTGCATAATCAAAACCATAATTTAAGAGAGAGGGAAAAAATCCACAGTGCTTGCCTGGGTATCGTGGGTAAAGCATTCGATTTATCATGATGAAGCTCCATGAAAACACAAGTCTGGACATATAAAAAGTGAGTTTTTTTTTCCCCCTGTGGTTCATAACTTGGGTTAGTGATCACACCTTGGGTTAGCGGTTTTTACTGATCCCAAAATRTTTGGCTCTGAGACAAGATTAGCCCCCTTGCCTCCCTTTCTGCTCTTCCCTGCAAAACAGCAGGTCCTGCTCCAAAGCTGAGAATYAGTGGGGCCTCTTAGTTAAATCTTAAGGATTTTCCCTTTGTTTTACCTAAGCAATAAAAATATTTTTCTCTGATGTTATTTTTAAAAGCACCACACTTCCAAGACAGCATTCGATGTGTGGTCAGCACTCAGTGAAAGAAGCTGTAGCCCTCCCAGACTGGGAAAACTGCAAGGGAAGGTGTTGGACGTTGTAGTGGACAGGCATTKGCTGTCGTCCTGCTTGTAATTATGGGAGAATGTGTGAAAAAAATGGGCTTCCCATGGYCCCTGTAATGGTTCCCTGTAAAACCTCAAATTCCAGAGGACACRCAAACACCAAAACTGCCTTAGTAGAGCCACTGCCTTTAGTTCATTGGAGGTTTCACCAATAGCAATGCACATACCACCTAGAAGAAATTAGGATCACTGCCTGAACTGCTCAAACATGTGTAGTGTCCTRTTCATGTCGGTGTATTTGAAGAAGAGCTACAGCTCAAATGGAGGCAGATGAGGACGCCTGCCTGCCTGCCTGGAACATACCCTCTTAGTTGCGTTACGTGGGCATTTGAGATGTATTTCTTTTTTTTTTTTTTTTTTACGAGTTTTAAGAGAAAGGTGGATTATCAAATAATGTACATAATGACAAGTTGAACAGTTGCAATATGTAAACATATAAATACCTGGTTATTGGAATTTAGATGCCAGGCTGATGGTTTGGATTTATATGTGACCGTTTCCTGGGCTCTATCAAGGCACATTAGCCCATGTGCACTTTCCTTTTCTGCACCCGAAATTCACACAGGTTTTGGGGGCTTGCTTGGTTTTACTCTGAGCAAGAGACTTGTTTGCAGGAGCTCGTGGTGCTTTGCTTTAAGTTTATATAGGGTGTGGAAAGCATTTATCAGTGCACTTGAGCTATGAAGGGCATTCAGAGCAGTTCTGGTTCAGTGCTGCTATTACATAACCACGTTAGTTCAGTTGTAGCCATCAATCGATTTGCCTACTTATATACACTGAGGTTAAAAACAAATTCCTCTTGTTCCTGTTGTCTGTCTTCTCTTCTACACGTGCTTGCACCCCAGCCTCGTGCTCCGGAAYGTGGGCAAACAGCAATTGCAGTGAGCAGCCAGTAACCCCAAGGGATTGGCTTGCAGGATACAGGATYCTCAAAAAAAGGCAAACAAAAAGAAAAGCTTGCTGCAGGTTTCTTACTGCAGGTTTCTCCTTTCTTTTTTTTTTTTTTTTCTCCCCTGGCTATGTTCGTGTCAGGACAGAGAAGAAGGACATGGTTTTGGTTTGATTTTGGCCTTTGCAGTTGTGTAGCTCGTTTTACTTTCTGCTGAGTGACCATGGGCTATTTTCACCATCCCACCCCCTTGTGGGGGGTTATCCCTATAAATGTCCTCTCGTTGCTTGTGTGCCTCGGCACCTGCTGCTTTTCCTGTGGGCCCAAAGCCCTTTGAGGGCCTCC